TTATTCATTTAGTTAGTTAGCTAGTTAGTTAGAGACAGGGTTTCACCATGTTGCCCAGTCTCCAACTCCTGGGCTGCGATTCTCCTGCCTCAGCCTCCCAAAGTGCTGGGATTACAGGTGTGAGCCACCATGCCTGACTGATCCCATTTTTATAAAACTCTTTCTTTCCTCTGATCTTTTTATTTGTATATATACATAAAGAACTGCGTGAAGGCCAGGCGCGGTGGCTCAAGCCTGTAATCCCAGCACTTTGGGAGGCCGAGACGGGCGGATCACGAGGTCAGGAGATCGAGACCATCCTGGCTAACACGGTGAAATCCCGTCTCTACTAAAAATACAAAAAACTAGCCGGGCGAGGTGGCGGGTGCCTGTAGTCCCAGCTACTCGGGAGGCTGAGGCAGGAGAATGGCATAAACCTGGGAGACGGAGCTTGCAGTGAGCTGAGATCCGGCCACTGTACTCCAGCCTGGGTGACAGAGCGAGACTCCGTCTCAAAAAAAAAAAAAAAAAAAAAAAAAAAGAACTGCGTGAAAGGATGTTCCTCCTTTTTAATTTTTAAAAAATGTTATATATATATATATTTTTTAAGACAGGGTCTCGCTCCGTTCTCCAGGCTGGAGTGCAGTGACGCGATCTCAGCTCACTGCAGACTCCACTTCCTGGGTTCATGCCATTCTCCTGCCCTAGCCTCCCGGGTAGCTGGGACTACAGGCGCCTGCCACCGTGCCCAGCTAATTTTTTGTATTTTTAGTAGAGACAGGGTTTCACTGTGTTAGCCAGGATGGTCTCGATCTCCTGACCTCATAATCCGCCCGCCTTGGCCTCCCAAAGTGCTGGGATTACAGGCGTGAGTCACCACGCCCAGCCTAAAAATGTTATTTTTAATGATGAGGTCTCACTATGTTGCCCAGCTGGTCTTGAAGTCCCAGCCTCAAGTGATTCCCTCCCACTTCAGCCACTCAAAGTACTGGGATTATAGGCATGAGCCACCACATCTGGCAGGCATCTACTTTTTTTTTTTCCCCCCAGACAGGATCTCACTCTGCTGCCTAGGCTGGAGTGCAGGGGTGTGATCTTGGCTCACTGAAACCTCTGCCTCCCGGGTTCTCATGCCTCAGCCTCCCAAGTAGCTGGGATTACAGGCGTGTGCCCCCACGTTGAGTTAATTTTTTGTATTTTTTGGTAGAGACAGGGTTTCACTATGTTGACCAGGCTGGTCTCAAACTCCTGACCTGAAGTGATCTGCCTGCTTCAGCCCCTCAATGTGCTGGGATTATAAGCATGAGCCACCATGCCTGGCCCAGCATCTATCTACTCTTAAATTTTTTTCTGAGTAGAAGCAGTCTAGTGACTTATTTCTTTCTAGTTTTTTCACATTGCCTGAATATTTCTAACTATATATCCAGTACTGAACCACCAAAGAAACCACCAAAAAACAAGCATATATAAAAAATGTAAAGAGCAATAGTTCCTTATGTTTTATTTTGGTATTTTTACCATTATAATATCCAGCAGCTAGGTGTTGGTGGGGCCTGGTAGGCATCCAGGCCAGGCTAAGGCACTGACCACACTCAGAGGGGTCTGTAGCTTGCATAGACCCTACCTGCAGAGTTGCCACACATTGTACCTGCAGGGAAAGAAGAGATGGAATCAGGGTTAGGGACACCTACACTGGAATGAAAGCTCACATCAATGTTTAATCCAGCAGGATGAGGGTATTTTTCAGAAGTATAAGGAGACTCACTGTGGAATCAGCAAGGTGAGGCTCTAAGAAGATGGAGCCTCAGCTAAGGTAGCAGGTTCCTCACTCACCTTATATATGGCAGGCTTCACTGCATCTGTGAGGGAAAAAGAGCAGTAACTAACTCTATGGATCCCGAGGACTCAGTGGGTCTTACTCTGTCACCCAGGCCCGAGTGCAGTGGCATGATCATGGCTCACTGCAGCCTCCAACTCCTAGGCTCAAGCAATCCTCCTGCCTCAGCCTCCTAAAGTGCTGGGATTATAAGTGTAAGCCACCATGCCTAGCCAGGCCTCGCTTTTTTTTTTTCCTGTAGACCTCCTCTGCGGACACAGGCCTTGCTCTTAAATCAGCAACCAATCCTTTAAATAGTGACGTTCCCTTATCCTTTGTTGAGAAAGTCCTTATCTTTCCATCACCAAATTTATGAATCTACCTCTATCTGCTCCCACCTTCTTTCCTTCTGTTACACCTGATAGTATCCTTCCTCCTATCAGAAGAGCAATCCCTTCACTCCACTCTCTCCTCATCCTCTAGCACCTTTTCCAGAACACTGCTCATTCTGTTATCCTCCTTCCTCCTGTGTCATCCACTTGTTCCCTCCCTAGTCTGTCACTCCCATGTTGCCATGTGAACATGCCCTACTGTCTCCTATCCAAATAAAGGGACAAAACCTTTCTTTACTGACCACACTCAGGCAATCCACCACCCTCAATTACTGGCTCCCCTTCACAGCCAATTTTTTTTTTTTTTTTTTTTTGAGACAGGGTCTCACTAAGCCACCCAGGCTACAGTGCAGTGGCACAATCTCAGTTCACTGCAGCCTCAACCTCCTGGGCATAAGTGATCCTCCCACCTAGGCCTCCCAAGTAGCTGGGACTACAGGCACGCATCACTATGCTCGGCTACTTTTTAAAATTTTTTTTTGTAGAGACGACATCTCATTATATTGCCCCAGCTGGTCTCAAACTCCTAGGCTCAAGCAACCCTACCACCTAGGCCTTGCAAAGTACTAGAATTAAGGCATGGGCCACCATGCCCAGTCCCACAGCGAAACTTCTTCAAAGAACTGTCTGTATTTACTATCTTTATTTTCTGACCTCCTATTACCTCCTCAACCCACTCTGCAAGACCACCACATATGGGACTTCTCAGGGCTCCAACCTTTGTGCCCTCTTCTTTAAATACTCAGTACTAATGAAAAATAAATTCAACATATAGGAGCTGCCTTTTCCTGACTCCTTCTTCCTCTTGCTCATCTTCAGCTCTCTATTCTATCCCCCTCTTCAGAACAAGGGATTGTGTTTGTGTGGTGGTGAGGGCAGGAGAGGCTAAGAACAGGATTAGGGGAACAAGAGTATGGCAGGGGAGATGGGCCCTATCCATCAGCCCAAGACCTCAGCAGCTCTTTACACAGCCAGTTACCTGTGGCAGCAACAGGGGGAAAGTCCTGAGAGCACAGAAGAGGGAAGGAGAGATAAAGAGAGAGTACAGCTGCAAGACTGCAAAAGAGAGAGGGCTCGAGAACAAACCAGAGTCACAACGCAGGGTATGTGTGTGGCTGAGTAAGGCTTTGTGCTAGAGAGACTGGCCCAGGGGAGCTTCCAGGGAGATAGGTCCTGCTATGCTCTGGCCACCACGACAGCAGCCCCATTCTCCTTGCTGTGCTACTCACCTGGGGGTTGCTGAGCCAGCAGGGCCTCTGGATGGGGTAGACTGAACAGCAGTACTTTCCCGTCTGAGCAGGCCAGAGCCAAGAGACCCAACCGGGGCAGGAGAGGAGCCTAAAGGGTAAAGGATGTGCTGAGGCTTGCTGCCTTCAACTGACTCACAGAAAACCTTTGAGGTTCTAGTCCCTGAAAATACTGTATGGAGTTGCTGGAAAAACTCCATCCACCACACTCCAACTTTCCTTCCTTAAACTCTAAGAATTCCCAGGGCCTCTTTGTCCTGGCTTTGAGTCCTAGGGCCATCCCACAGTCGACTGCGAAGTACCTTCCGAGGGGTGCCTGGAAGTTCCCATGCTCCACTAGGGCAGAACTTGAGGTCCCAGATGCAGCCGTTGTCACAAGCAATCCCATAGACAAAGTGGGCCCTGTTGCCAGGACTGGAGAGAGAGAGCATGTGGGGATGGTGGGTAGGAAGAAGGGACGTAGGGCTGCCAGAGGTAAGCTCGCCTTGTCTCAGCCCAATCCAATCCCTTCCCCCTATCCTGTCCAGACCCCATCCTGCTGTCCTCAACCACCCTCCCATGGCAGTGTCCAACCCCACCTCACCAGCTTTCTTGCTGCAAGGTCCCAAGGCCCCAGAGCTGGAGCAGCCCAGGACCCGAATGAAGCTGGCTCAGTGGGTGTGTCTCATTCATGTCAGGGCTGGAGAAGAGAGCCACATATTGCGAGGCTCCTGCCCCCTCTGGCACTGGGCACCAGTCCAGAGCCCAGAGCGGTCCCCCCGTGAAGAAGGACACATCCCAGCGCTCTGGATGTGCTGTGATCGAGCTAAATCTAGAGAAAAATCAAAGATGGGATGAAGAACGGAATTAATGAAAGGTAATGAGGACTGTATGGGAGCTCCACCCAGAGCCAGTATGAACTGGCTCAAGCAAGAGCCTGAATATCAAAAACAGTTTACAAGTGAGAAGAGTCCTTGGCTACCATTTGTATCTTCCTCCTTTCCTTCCCAAAGTCTGTCTTATATTATTTGAGATGGGGTCTGTCACCCAGGATGGAGTGCAGTGGCATGATCTGCAGCCTTGACCTCCCAGGCTCAAGTGGTTATCCCACCTCAGCCTCTGGAGTAGCACATGCCACCATACCCCACTAACTTTAAAATTTTTTGTAGAGATAGGGGTCTTGCTATGTTGCCTAGGCTGGTCTCGAACTCGTGGGCTCAAGTAATCCTCCCTTTTTGGCCTCCCAAAGTGCTGGGATTACAGGTGTGAGCCACCATGCCCAGCCTCCAAAGTCTGTCTAGCTCCAGCTCATCTTCAGGGCTGTTCATTCTGGAATACTATAGTATTTTCCCTAAGGCTAGTCTGTCCAGGTCTATCTGAGTACATGTAACTTGTGAACTGCTTTGGCCCCTAAATTTCTCTAGCTTCCCTCAGCCTGCCAGCAGTAATGAACACTACAAATCAGAGAGGACTGACCAGCTCTAGCCAGCACTCTTATTCTTGGGACCAACTCGACCAGCATCAAGGGAAGGACAGGACTTATCTGTCATCTCTTTCAACATTCATTTTTCTTGTTTCTGGCTCCAGAATCAGAAAAAAGGGCGGATGTGCAATCTTCACCTGTTTATTCGGTAGAGGGTGCCATCTTCAGGTAGCCCTTCACGTTGTACAGAAAACAATGGAGACTTCTCCTCCTGGGGCAGGTAGGGAGCGGCCTCACTGGGGGAAGGCAAAGGGAACAGTTTAAATTTGGAAGGGTTTCACCCATCCCAGGGTTCCCATTATAGAGCCTCTGTCACCCTTTCGTCTCCAGTGGTGTCACCCTTCCTAAGCTTCAGAGATGCTGCTTCAACTTACAGCTCAGATAACAAGTGCCACTTCCAGGCTAAAGGAATCCATTCAGCAAACTCCCAGTATGAATGTTTCTGCTCTCGGCTGGAGAAAAAGCAGCAGCATTAATGGAGGAGGAGAGGGATTCTAGAGCAGCACAGTCCAATAAAACTTTCTGTGGGGATGGAAATGATCTATTATCTGTGCTGCCCAATATGCCAGCTGCTAGCTCCAATTAGCTACTGGGCACCTAAAATGTGGCTAGTGCAGCTGAGAAACAGAGCCTTTCATTTTATTTCACTTCAGTTAAGCATTCTAGAGCTCTTGCCTCTAGAGCAGTGCTTTTTAGTAATGAGTGTCATCACAGTATCCCCCATGACTGCTTGTCTTTCCCACAGCCCCACTTCAATACCATCCTTGCACTCCTCTACCACCCCTTCATTATCCCCAGCCCCCAGTTCCCAAGTCTCACAAGTCCTTGGTGAGATGGAGGCACTTCCAAACAGGAGCCATGATGTGATTTGGTAAGCCATTGGGAGCCATTCCCCGGCAGTGTGGCTTCTGCTTCTGAGAATCAAATTGAAGAAAATATAAGGAAGCGAATTCTACAGGTTGGACAAAGTCCCAGAGACAGTTCTTTTCCAGTTTTTATCTTCTTTGGCAATACCTCCCCTTCCAATCACTGCCCTATCAGCATCTTAAAAGATTTGTGTTTCAACCATTGTAATGACTTCTTTACCTTCTGCACTACTCCTCCATCAAAAATGCAACATCCATTACCTATTTTCTGTTCAGCTTCCTCAACATCTCCATGGCATTTGATTCAGAGGACTTCCCTTATGCCTCTTGAAACTCCCACTCTATGGAACAGTCTCCCTTACTCCTCTCCCCTCTCTAATATTCCTTCACATGCTCTCCCTTCTTGACAGGTCTCCTCAATGATGGTATTCCCCAGAGTTCCTGTCGTCTTCTCGCCCCTCTACACAGACAGACAGACACTGACACACTCCTAGTAATCTCATCTCATGTCCCAAAGCTTTGCCTACTACCTTTTTGTTTATTTGGTTGTTTCTTTTGTTTTTGTTTTTGAGACAGGGTCTCACTCTGTCGCCCAGGCTGGAGTGCAGTGGCGCGATCTTGGCTCACTGCAGCCCCAGCCTCTGCCTCCTGGGCTCAAGCAATCCTCTCACCTCTGCCTCCTGAGTAGCTGGGACTACAGGCACAGCGCACCACACCTGGCTAATATTTTTGTATTATTTTGTAGAGACAAGGTTTCTCCATGGCCCAGACTGATTTTGAACTCCTGGGCTCAAGCGATCCTTCCCCCTCAGCCTCCCAAAGTGCTGGGATTACAGGTGTGAGCCACCACACCTGGCCTTTTTAAAAATTTAGAGACAGGGTCTTGCTATGTTGTCCATGCCAGACATCAACTCCTGGGCTCAAAAACTCCTCCTGTCTCAGCCTCCTGAGTAGCTCAAAGTACAAATGCATACCACTGAACCCAGTTTGACTACCATCTTTATGCCTGATTATCAAGTTTACATCTCCGTAATGTAAACCTGACTCGGTCTCAACTTCTCTACAAGTTCTAGACAGTGTTGTGGCAAGTCATATTAGAGCATGAGGCAAATGGAAAAAAAATAATCAGTTAAAAAAAAAAATCAGTAAAGTTCCTGTCTTTATTTAAAATTTTGATATTTTGTTCATCATGGAACAAAATACCCATGATTTGTTGCATTGATTTGATTTTTTTAAATGTTGCATCAAAATAGCATTTATCTCTATTACTGAGGGTTTCTGTTGTCCCTTAAATGTTGCACATGAGGCAAGTAAGGCACTGGTCTCATATATGCAACTGGTGATCAGACATCTCCAGCAGAATGGCCCATGGCCCATGGGCATCTCAAACTCAACATGTCAGAAAGTGAATTCTGCCAGGTGTGGTGGCTCGCACCTGTAATCCCAGCACTTTGGGAGGCCAAGGCGGGCAGATCACCTGAGGTCAAGAATTCAAGACCAGCCTGGCCAACATGGCAAAACCCCATCTCTACTAAAAATACAAGTTAGCTGAGCGTGGTGGCGCGTGCCTGTAATCCCAGCTACTTGGGAAGCTGAGGCAGGAGAATCGCTTGAACCCAGGAGGCGGAGGTTGCAGTGAGCTGAGATCGCTCCACTGCACTCCAGCCTGGGTAACAGAGCAAGACTCTGTTTCAAAAAGAAAAAAAAAAGTGAATTCATCTTCTTCCCTCCCCACCTTTGCCCCTCCCACATCCTTCGCCCTTTCCATGTTCCCAGGTTCAGTGCATGATGCCACCATTTAAGCTGGAAGCTGCTATTCAACTTCCTCCCTCCCTTCAATTCCTAAATACTGTTAATTCTCTTACATATTCCATTCTGTGAGAGAACACAGAAACAAAAGAATTTAAAAAAATATTTTTTTTAATTATCTTACTTTTTTTTTTTTTTTTTTTTTAAAGACAGAGTCTGGCTGGAGTGCAATGACGTGATCTCAGCTCATCGCATCCTTTGCCTCCTGGGTTCAAGTGATTCTCCTGCCTCAGCCTCCCAAGTAGCTGGGATTACAGGTGCATGCCACCACACCCAGCTAATTATTTTTGTATTTCTAGTAGAGACAGGGTTTCACTATGTTGGTCAAGCTGGTCTCAAACCCCTGGCCTCAAGTGATCCACCTGCCTTGGCCTCCCAAAGTGCTTGGATTACAGGTGTGAGCCACCACGCCTGGCCTTTTACATATCTCTTGAATCTGCCCCCTCCCTGCTCTTCTCTTCCTTCACTGCTTGATTTAGGACCTCACTATCTCTTACCTGAATAATGGAAACTGTTTTTTTTTCTTTTCTTTTTTTTTTTTTTTGAGAAGGAGTTTCATACTGTTGCCCGGGCTGGAGTGCAATGGTGCAATCTCGGCTCACTGCAACCTCTACCTCCTGGGTTCAAGCAATTCTCCTGCCTTAGCCTCTTGAGTAGCTGGGATTACAGACATGCATCACCACACCCAGCTAATTTATTTTTAGTAGAAACGGGGTTTCACTACGTCGGCCAAGCTGGTCTTGAACTCTTGACCTTGTGATCTGCCTGCCTTGGCCTCCCAAAGTGCTGGGATTACAAGGCATGAGCCACCGTGCCTGGCAAAACTGTCCTCTTGTCAACTATAATTTGACCTATTTTCCTAACTGATGTTATTTTTCTACTTAAAAACATTCGTTGTACAGAGCTTCTGCACAACTGAACTGTGCGTGTTTTTTTTTTTTGAGATGGAGTCTCGCTGTCTTACCCAGGTTGGAGTGCAGTAGTCGATCTCAGCTCACTGCAACCCTCTGCCTCCTGGGTTCAAGTGATTCTCCTTTCTCAGTCTCCCGAGTAGCGGGGACTACAGGTGCGCACCACCATGCCTGGCTAATTTTTGTATTTTTAGTAGAGACAGGGTTTCACTATATTGGTCAGGCTGGTTTCAAACTCCTGACCCCGGGTGATCCACCCGCCTCGGCCTCCCAAAGTGCTGGGATTACAGGCATTAGCCACCGCGCCCGGAATGGTTAAAATGGCAAATTTTATGTTACATACATTTTACCACACACACACACAAAAAACCTATAAACAAAAACAATCTTTGTTGGTTCCTATTGGTCTATGTCCTTTCATCTTCTCCAGTTTAATCTCGCCTACAACTTTACTCCAGGCCCTGTGCTCCAGCCATAACCAATTTCTGGGAAAACCATCCCCTCTGGCAAACTTCTACTTATCCTTCAAGAAGCAATTCAACTATCATTCCTCTGTGAGGCCTAAGCAGTTAATTGCCCTTCCTCTATATGCCTAAATCATTTTGTTCACTCCTGGGGTAGTGCTGATTGAACTGTGAACTTGTAAGGCAGGACACTGTCTTATTTATATTTGTGTTTCCTAACAGAGAATAGACACTCAATATATGAATGAATAATCTTGTTTACTGTACCCCTTCTTCTGCGCTCTCCCTAATATGCCAACTGTTTTTGAAATTGACCCTTTTTTCTTTAACCCGTTTTGTCTATTATAGTTACCAGGTCAAAGCTATCTTTCCTTTCTCAGTACCTTGCTGGTCCCCTAAAATCCTACTATGTCCCCATTCACTTTTTTGTCCATTGAGGTTACCCCTGAAGTAGATCCTCGTGGGGTGCTTCGGGGCACTGCAGGCTCAGGTTCAGACGAGCTCTCACTTGGGCCCTCACTTTCTTCCACATCTTCAGCCTCAACCTGGAGAAAAAAGTCTTCATCCCGTGGAGCACCATCCACCTCTTCTCCACCTGGACAGGCTGCTGGCTGCCGGATCTTCTTCGGTTTGGTGGGGCTGCTCACCTTGGGGCCCTCAGGACAGGACACAGGAGCAGGCAAGGCTGTTGAGAGCTCTTCAGCCAGTTCCTGAAGATACAGAAGTGCCCTGTGGGATAGGGCAGAGTCAGAGCCATTCTCACATATAACTGAGAACCCACGTTTCCAGACATGGTTATTTTTATCTCAATGGATCCTCCCAATAACCCCATGATTAACCAATTAACTCTATTAATTTCCCCTTCCCCCTTGGAAGATGAAAAACCAGAAATCTAAGTTATGTGACTTGGCTGAGATGATTCAGATAACAAATGTGGAATCTGAACCCAGGTCTTCTCACTCCGAGTTCAATGCATTTTTCATTCCACCACAGTCAAAGAACACAGAGGGCAAGAGAAAGAATGGAACAGCACATATATATTGACATATACTGGACAGTAAAACAGCAATAAAGAGCTGGGTAGTTTGTGAAAAATGGCATTGGACATAAAGTACAGAAAGTAATTCTCAGATAAACCAAGTTAGCAACATGTACCATTAATAGTGCTGTGGTAAGAGCCTAATGGACTGCTGAAGTCCCTAGAATCCAGACACCACCCCTGCTTACCTAATACCTCATCACAGTCTTCTCGTCCCTCCAACATCTGCCCCACCCTGATCCCTTCACCCAACCCCCCTCTACCAAGCTGTGCCCCACAATCCTTACACTTGGGCAGCCCTTCGGCGGGGTCGTTCCCCAGAAGGGGTCTCAAAGTCCTCAGGGGGCCTCTTTGGAGATGGAGATTCTGGCCGTTCTAGGTCTTTTGACAACTTCAGCAGTAGCAGCTCTGCCTTGGACTTTCGACCTCGTTTCTTAGGCATGGGGGTGGACAGAGGGTTGGACTGATCTAAGAGACCAGGAACCAGAGGGGCTGATGGAGGATTAGGCTGTTGGGGCCTTTTGGGGCCTTTTCGTGTCCTACCACCTCTCTTCCGGCCAGGCTTTGAGGCCCTAGGCTTTGAAACCTTTGACATCTCTGAAGAAAGATC